TTTAATGCTCTAAAAATCTGTGTTTTCAACTTGATTTTCATTTTGGGGTCGATTTTTCATCATTTTAATGATGTTACCCCTTTCCAAATTTTCGAAAAATGCCTTTGCAGAAAAGTGACCAAAAACCTGCACTTCTAAGCTCATAACTTTTCTTACAGGCATCTGATTTCAAAGTGGCACACCTCTAAATGACTGTGACTTAATTCTCTAAAAAACTGTGTTCTCAACTTGGTTTGTATTTTGGGTCGATTTTTCGTCATTTTAAAGATGTGACTTTGCAGAAATGTTACCTAAAACCGGGCTTCTAAGCTAAGCATATAATGTGGATTAAATTCATAAAATACTTTCTGAAAAAAGGTAACGGGTAATCATTTTCTAATTACAATTTTTAAAACCCATTCATGATAGTGTCTTTGTAAAATGAATTGCTACAATGTGAAACATAAACCAGACATTTGGCTGTGAATTTTTGGACAAAACAAAGTCTGCTCCACAACGGCTGTCAGTTTTTGCATCTGTCTCGTTGTCTGGACCTGTTCCTCTGACCATCTCCGCCCCCAACCATTATCCTTTTCCCCTCGAATATCTGCTTTTTCTGCTTATCGGGCTGCTTTGTTCTTGCTGTTTGGTGCATACTTTTAGGCGCAAATCACGCCATGTTCAAAAGTTTGCCGTACTGTTGTCTCCGGGCCTCCAGTTCATTGCACTGTTTCCTGTGCAATGGAAATTGCAACGCGCCGGACTTTTATTGCCCGGAAATGCCTTTTTCTGGCTAGACGGTTAAAGTTTCTACTCGGAAAAGTTCACAAGCGAAAAATCATAGTTTGCACAGAGAAAATATGTATTTTTTGACCTGTTATATTAAAAAAAAAGTTTATTGTCAACTCTTATATTTATTTCTTCTTTAGAATCATCTGACGTGTTTAGGTCACTAATTTGTATTATTTATTTTTGAATACCAAAATCTTCAGATAAAGTTTTAAAAAATAAAATTTGTCTGTGTACAATCAGTTACAATATTTCGAATTGCAATAGCAGTTGCAATTTGTATTGCGATTGGGGAAAGGAATTGTCGCATGCTTAAACGCAGTAAACGGACACATGGATAACTTCGAGCCTCGAACACCGAACTTCGATTATGGCAGCTAATAAAAAAACATTGTGCTACGCGGCCTAGGCGCTTTCAAAAATTTGGATTTATGGTTATTTTATGGCTGTTTGGTTTATTGTTCTTACTTTTCCTAGCGGTTACTTCGCTCCTTTTTCCTTGGCTTGTCGCCTTGGTCATAAAAATTCAATTATGTGAAGGAGGCGTGCTAGCACAAGAAGTAAAAAACCTGAGAGACCGTAAAAATGAATGAATGCTGATTTAAAAGGAGTGTGTCTGAGTGCGCCCCGAAAAAATGTGCCATCTTTTACTTTTTTGCATGGCTTTGACACACATGCATACGCAAAGAGCACGCACACCCACTCAACCATGCCGAATGCGACACAAGAATTGCCAAAATGTAGGAAACCTCTTGAGCAGCCCCTAAAAGTGCGCTTTAAATTTCCCGACTATGCAAAGCGGATGCTGAGAGATGGAAAATGGGAAAATGCGAAGCATCATCCGGCGGCGCTGACGGAGAAATGTTTACTAAATAGAAACCGGGAAAGTGGGAAATGGAGAAGGACTGAAACAGTCTCGGAATACTCTTATGAAAATGAAGCCAAAAGTTCAGTTAAAAGGGAAAAGTTCTCTTACAATTGTGTGGGTTTGGGTCACAAAAACTCTATCACAAACTCAAACATTTTAAATTTTCGTCGTATAATAAATAAGATAAAAAGATTAAGATTAACAACGCTGTAGTAACCTATGCATAAAGTGAATTAATTTTGTATACTTCAAAGTGAATAATTTACATAAAGCTTAAAAGAAAATATAAAAATATATACGATGTGAAATGGCAACGATAAGTTATGAACTCATTCAACCATTTGATCTATTTCTCCTTAAACTAATTGACCCACTTACATACACTTTAAATATTTACCCGACTATCAATAGAGTGAAAGCCAATCTTGTGATGGATGGTTATACTTGTGAGAGGTTAAATGCCTGCTTACACTCTTATATCCTTTTATGTCCAAAGTCCTTCGTTCGTCTTGTTTGCGTGCTCTTTTTGTTCAAACATTATCACAAACTTTGCATTATCCTGCTGTAAGTGAGAGCACACAAGAGTGGCCCCACTAAAAATCTCTCTACGTTTCTTATCCTGTGTGTGAGCGTGTATGAACGTCTGGTTATTAACCTCCTTCCGACTTTGTGAGTCCTTGTTGCCTCCTTTGGTGAACTAAAGCCATCTCCGAGGCTCCAGCCGCTTATATATGTAAATATGGTTGATATACTTTAAGGCTTTAGTTGGATACTCGTTTTTTTTCTTGTAAATGGATGTATATTTGCTTTCACTTGGCTGCGGATAATTGGCTGTACGAAGTGTGGCAATGAACGATCATTGTCATCATCATGATTGACAGCTCAAACATGATGCCAGCAATCTGAGCCCAAAAGTCGATTCCTTCCTGTTTGCCGGCTCGATAATAGAAGAAGTAGTCGAACATCCTTCCACTCCACAGAGCCCCGTCAAATGACATGTTTTGATAAATTGTTTGATTAATGGACGCATATGCGTAAATACAGTTTAAGTGCTCCAGCGAAGGGCTTACGTATCAATATCCATAACGGGGAGGAGTCAGCAAGGACACTTCATGGCTGTGACCATTAAGAATAATTTTCCTTTGCTGCCGCCTAAAAGCGCACTTTCCACCACAAAGAGCGACAGCTGAAAATGACAAAATCTGTCGGATGCCAGGCCGATGTTCATAAATCAAAGTGACACCCGCATGCTCACACCCCGCTTACTCATACAGACATACACCCATACAGACATACAGACATACAGACATTTTCCACATTTCCGCCGCGCTCATTAAAAAATTGAGCGCCATTTGCCAAATGCGAAGCGGGAAAAGAGGGAAAAGAGGGAAAAAACCGAGGGTGAAACAGTGGAAAACAGAAATTGCATGCTTGAGCATATGCATATGCATGTTGAGCGAAGAACTCCACTCCAAAAAAACTAACACATCATAAATCTTGCACAAGTATCCTTAAGCGTTGCGACTTTTCCATCCTTCAACCACGCCCACCGCCCCCATATGGCGCCTCCGTAAAATGGAAACTCATTCACATAAAAGGCAGTAGATTCACTGTAGAATCTTTAAAATGCTGAGCAAAATGTTTGTCATGAACTCATGAAACTAAGCTAAATTCAATTTGAGCTGGATTTCGTTTAGCTTTAAGTCTTACAGCAAGTTTATGGACATTTCTAAAGCTTAAATAAGTAATTTAAGCAATTAAGCCAAAACTAATTGGTTGAAATATAAAAAAGACTCCAATATATCTGAAAACCAAAAATAATTTTTTTGATTTATAAACAAATTATATTTAAAGTTTCGAATAATTTTCAAAGTTGATCATTTAATAATATTATTTTATGGTTTCGGTAAAGCCCACTGTTGCTTGTATGGGGTAAAGATTTTTGCCTTTTTAATTACAAAAGCCTTCAAACGGTCGGTTTGTTGGTGCACACATGAATATGCAACACATTTTTTTTCGCCACTGCCCAGTTTTCCCTTTCGCCGCTTTTTGTGCACCACATACATGCAATAAGAATTTTGCCAAAGGCCAAGCAAACGCTCACGTCGCGTTTACCATGACAAGCACAAGCTGTCGTCATCCTTCTGCTCATCCCACTCGGGTTTTTCCTCAATTTTCCACATACCACCTCCGCTTTTCCGCCCCCCACTTTTTCCGTCAGCGCCTTGAGCGAATTTTTTTGTGAGTAGCCACAGCAACAGCTAAACTTGAGACTTTTGGCACGTGCATCTCGTCACTAGGTCTTTTTTGCTTCTTGTTCAGCTTGTTGGGCCGAAGGATAACTTCTGCTGTCCAAGGATCAATATGTTCTCTAATGAAACTTGTGTCAAAGTGTGATATTGATTGTCGAAACGGGAAGGAAGAAGACGCCAGAATGGCAGAATACAGAGATTACCTCAAACACAATTTTACTGCCCTCTTACAACTTTCTGTCATGAAAAGTATTGACTTCTTAGTAGTGAAAATCTTTTCTAAGACTGTCATTACTGGCTAAGTTTTAAGTAAAAAGTTGGCATTTAAGTTATGCAGTTCGTTCTCAGAGCTGTCCTCATAAAGAAGCGAATAGAAAAAGTATATAAAACATTATTTTAGGAAAACAAGAAAGGAAACAAACTTCGACAAGCCAAAGTTTATATACCCTTTGCAGTTTTTCCCTCAAAATATATTCTATAACAATGAAGCTAGGTCGATTTTTTGGATCTAATGGCAGAAATCGTACTGTGCAAACATCACTTCCGTTGATAAATTGCTTATTTTGTATGATATTGTAAAGAAAACTGCCACTCAAAATTGGCAGTCGATATTGTTTTGTGCTGCTTTCATCTCGAATTTTTGATGGACATCAGTTAGACTTCCGAGCCATATCGTTGGGCAACCTTCACTTAAGCTACCACTTTTACATTTTATACATTTATCCTTTTCGCTTCGCTTTTATTAAGCTGGTCTTGTTGCACTTTACCTATCAGCCGTGCAGATTTTCCACTTTATCCGTTTCTTTGTCCCTGTAGCCCGGGGATATCATCTAACCCTCCAAGGGAAATGTAATTTACAGCAAAAAATTGACTTTACCCCGTGAGCTGTTGATGCTGGTCTCTCTCTCTCTCTCTATGCCAAAGAAAAAATAAATAAATAAACAGACAACTTAATTTCCTAGTTAAACGTAGTTCAAGTTGTTGCTCGTGTTGCTGTTTTTCATCGTTATCTTTAGCTTTTTCCCGTAATAGGCATTAGACGATATAAAAACTTATAATTGACCTTTTCATAATCGTGTTTTCTTTTTCGCTTTGCTCTTTGTCTTTTGCAGGTCAGTATCGGAGATGAACGCCACTTCTCTATATGCCGGGTAAGCCATAGGTTTTAAACTTTATTATCCCCATTTATTATTTAATGTAAGGGAAAGGCCATGGAAAGCGACCGCGAAAAAGGTTTTAAGCCTCGATCGAATTATTCATTATGATTGACTCCCTTGCATGAAATTTCCTTTCACCGGATTAAATTTATCTTCGTTTCATCATGTGGGCTAAGGGAAAACTTTAAAAGCAAACTTTAAAAGCCAAAATTAAAATAAAAATTTAATCAAACTTTTGTCGAGAAAAACCGTAGTGAAGTGGCTTTCAAAATGGATGCGATGGGTATAAGCCAGCTTGAACTTGGTTCCCGCTTTTGGCAGCTCATGCGGCCTTTATAATTGGCATATAAAAAATACAGAAACAAAAGTTTGGCTGAGCTCCCCAGGGAAAGTAAAACATTGAAGTTGAGTTCAGTTTTGTTTAAAGTTTGAGTGGTCATAACCATAATATTATTTAAATGGCTTGCTTTAATGAATTCCAGAGTAATTATCATCCAGGCGAAGGTAAAATTAAAAAGAAAAGCCTTGAATATTTATAATATCTCCATTTGCCTGCAAGTATTAAGTATTAAGAGTTTTTTGTATTATTCAACGAATAATTTAAAGGTGATTTTCTTTAAAGAAACCAAAGTAATTAACAGCTGGGAAAAACCAAAGTTATCAAACAAAAATGCAGAACATTTAAAATAATTTACGGCTATAAAGTGAAAACAATTAAACATCCATTTCAAGCTGAAAACAATCAAGCAATTAGTGCAAATCGAGGAGTTTATTTGGTTATTTCATGTACCTATTTCTTTTTTAAGCAATAAAGAAGAATATTTCCGTAAAAAATTGCTTAATTTTTTCCCCAAGTGTTTGGTTTGTTACCGTGTGCGTACGACATAAAATGGAATACAAACTGTTATTTAAAAAAATCAGAGTGAATAAAAAAAGCGACAGAGAAGGGCTGGGAACTGAAATGCCAACAAACGACAAAAATTGCGGTGGGGAAAGTTTGTAGAGCGCAGAGAACTCACAGCAGCCCTGTGGCATATGCACATTTTGTACAATGTTTGCCCTCAGCGGGGGGTTGAAAATTGTGGGACGAAGTGGGGTCAGCGAATGTCATTGTTAAAAGAGACGGGGATTCTCTTTTCCCCTCCCTGGGAATTGCTTCACAATTAAGAATGCCAAAAATCGCGTTGCTCCCGTTGAATTATAATGTAGAACCGTTCAATTTGAATTGTGCGATGGACAGAAAATACAGGATATTTGCAAAGTACAAACAAAAAAGCCTGCTATATATGTGGGTGTATGACAATCTGGCGATGACTGCTAAACTTAATGTAAACTAAAGTAACTTTTATGTTTTTTTTTCGGGATTAAGTGGTTTGTTTAATTGCATGAACTGTTTTAATTACTTTATATGTTTGCTTATAACTAAATACTCAGCCTGACGATATTTGCTTTTGCTTCTATTTAAGTATTTAAAATTACTTAAGAACTGTTTTGTTTTTAGTGGCCGATTAAAAATGGAACTTAAGTAAAATTGTTTTACTTTTAAAAATGTATGGTATTTTCTTTTTTAAACATGATTTAATTACAGTAAGCTTTAATTTCTTTAAGGGTTACCCATTTTCGACCATACACAGCACTTCACCCATGTTACCCATGGCGTATGCTTAATAAATTTTCAATACCTTACGGGGAAAAGCAATGGGAGAAGGGAGTTGTGGAAAAAGTAAACAAAAGGCCTAATTTAATTACCTTACTTTGCCATGGTTATTCAAGTTTACCCAAGTTTTGAGGCGTTTCGCATTAAGGCCATATTTCCGTTAAAGCCTTTCAAGTTGACTGTGAGAAAACTTTTTTTATGGTCGACTTCAGGGCGTCGGCTGGGCCAATTAAAATGCCAAGATTTCTGCTGACTTTGTTGTTGGCAACGATGCATGGTTGTGTGTGGGTTAATTTATTTATCAACCAATTGGCACGTAAGGGGTTAATTGTCAGCCAGTCAGCAAAATATACTCGGCACGAGTTTATCGATTGTACATAACTTGCACATGTTGTTCCCAAACTTTTGCGCTTCGCACTTTACTCGAACGCCCTTTCTTCGCCATTTTCCCCACTAGTTTGTTGATTTTTGAGCTTTGCCTAGCTGCGGGCTTCCTTAAGATTCTATTACTTTCCTTCTGGCCTTTTGCCTTATGTTTGGTTTAAATTTAAATTAAATCACTCATACGCACCATCTGACAGACAGACCGACAGCTGCGGGCCGCTCATTGCGAACAAGAAATTAAAAGAAAAATAAATAAAAGCGCTATCCACATATTGCACAAATGTCAAACACCTGGCCAAAGCCACTATATAAAATTCATTTTAAAAGCAAGCAATCAAAGTGCCCAGACATCCCACACACAACTCACTCTGAACGAGGAGTTCAATAAAAGCTTAGAAAAGAGTCGAGCAGAATTTGAAAAGCCCCTTCCATCCGTTGGCCAGCAATTAAGCCAGTTTGTAACAATAAATTTCAGTTGCTGGTAGCACGAGGTGTTTGCCAACTGTTCACTATATTGACTTTCAATTTGGGTGCCGGTCAGTTGGTTGGGTTTTATTTTTCGTGCCTCTTAAAGGGCAGCAATGCAGTTGTTTAAAACTCATTCAATGGAACAAAACGTTCATGGAAAAGATGTTCTGATAAACTTTAAAAATGTTTCTCTTTATAATAATTAAAATTAACTAAATAGTTGTTAATTGTATTCATATTTTCATATTCATATTTTGAGTTAGTTCTGAAACAGACACAGAAATTTTGAAATATTTTTATTTTTAGCAAAACAAATTTATTTTTAAATTAAATTAAACCTGTTTCCAAAAGGGTCTTACAAATGTTGTTCTTCAACTTTTCAACTAACTTTGTCCAGTTAAAATTTTTTAACTAAATAAACATTTAATTTAACCTTTTTCAAACCGTTTTAAATATATGAATTTTTCCATTAAATTTTTACTTCAAAGAAGAATGAAAAATACAGAAATTCTTCAATTTACCATCGAATGGAGATGAAGTCCATCTATAATAGATTACATTTCAGCTCTCTATAGATTTGCAAACATTTGCCAATTGGCAAACAAATGCCAAATAAATCAAAATCAAACAAGAAGAACTGCAACCCCTATGAAAAAAGAAACCGAACCCCAGAGGTGCCCTTAAAAACTTGTTCCCTTGGCCGCTTTACAATCCAACCTCAGCTCACCCCGCCCACCTGCAACTTACCTGGTTTTCCTCACCTTCTCACCCCCCAACCCCCCCGCCTTCGTCCCCTCCCCAATGCGCTTGTACAAACACGTAATCGAATAATCCAATTTGTTTGCGCAAAAACTGAAACTTTTTCATACGGCTTCAGTTGACGACGACGCGCGGTGAGGTGACTCACACCCCATCGACCTCAACCTCGCCTTTTGAGCTAATTGTTTGAATGAGTTTCGGATATAAGTGCAGCGTCCTACCCCTCGAAAACCCAAAAGTCCTTCTTCCACTCGGTATTGTCTGTAAAATGATGTAATTGTTACCTGCTAGTTTGATTTGATAGTTACCTCAACTTGTGCGCCAGGGTTTTTTTTTCGGGGTGGCTTTTCATGGATTCAGCTTGGCAGTTCAACGGAACTTAATTTGAATTATGGAACGTCATAGTAAATAAGCACTTAGTTGAGGGATGATCCTTATTTTAGGTATTTTAAAAAGTTTTTATGGAAAGAAGATTTAAAAAACTTTACAGCTCAAAACCTAAAAATACTTCCTTAGCTTGGAGGCAAACTATTTTAAGAAAAGTCTTTATAAAACTGTATATAGTAATTTCGCAGAATCCTTCGCTATTTTCTTTTCATTAACTGGAGACAACTATTTTTACTTATTTTGCCATCTTCCCGACAATATCTAGGAGCATTGAGTTTGGTCCATTCAACTATTTCCACTGCCATTGAAATCCTTTCTAGCAACTAATCCTTCCCCCACTTTCCATTGTAGTCTTCATTTTCCCTTAAATCAACCTTTTGTTCCATTCAGTGTTGTGGTGCTTCTCCTACATCCCGCCCCAAAACGGTTTAGGCAACTGTATCCTGCAGACTGACCTTTCAATTAAATAAACGTTCCGTTGGTCACCTAACAGAGGACCTCCGACTGTGTGTGTTGACAGCGTAGCCCCACCCACCCACTCGCTCCCACAATTTTCCTCCGCCCAAGGCCACCTGCTGTTGCTGCCGTCGGGCACCTTTTCGCACCCACATGGAAGGCACTTTTTTTTTTGCCACAATCTTGTCAAACATTGGTTGCCCTACATTCAGTTAAAAACTGGTTTCAGCTGCATACTTGGGTCCTAAATACTGGGGCAGAATTGCATAACAAGTTACTAACAAAAAGCTGGGTTATTGATAGCTCTATTTCAAAACTAAAAACAAGCAGAGAATTTTTGTATCAAAAGTAGAATTAAATAATAGCCCAATAGCCCAGATTGTTTAGTTTTAATCTTAATCTTTATGTCTTTAATCACAAATGATAATATAAAGAAAACTGGCATATATAATCAGTAACTCCTTGAAGTTAAAACATAATAATAAATAAGAAATAAATCAATGACTTACTAATTATTATTAACAGATTGATATGAAAAGTCTTGTAATACTAATTAAAAACCAATCTTCTCAGATATCTGTAAAGGATGAGTTCCCACTTTATCTTAAGCAGCCACTTTTTGTCTTGGCTGCCAATACACTTGTAGGATTCCCAGGACTTAGAGCTCCTGCCTCTCCCCAGAGATGAGCAGATGAATAGCAGGGCTAATCCGGCTGCTTATTACTGCAAGAAGAGCGGCTTGTGGCCAAAGTAATATGCGCTTTCAGCCGAAGACAAACAGCTGGCAAACTTATCCGTCCGTTTGAATGCGTGCGCCGGAAGCCATTGCGGGTTAAGGAATGGGCGACAGGTAAAAGGACAGCTCACAGGTGGATGGTGGGCAGAGGGGTGGAGGGGCGAAGGGCGGAGAGAGGAGAGCGGTTACCGGAACGGAAGCACGGAACGCGACACTTTATGACTGCTTCCCAAGGACTTGCACTCAGCTTGGTTTGATGTGCTGCCAGTCCAAAAAAGAACAGACAGCCAGGCACAAAACTCTTTATACACAGAAAAAATATAGATTCTGTTAACGAAACGACTAAAAATTAATTTATAAATACGTAATTTCGACAAGGGTATGTTATAAAATATATTTAAGGATTATTTTAACAATACCAAAGCAAAAGTTTTTTCTCAGTAAAAGATGGGTTTATCATTGAACTCAAACAATTGTTCTTATAAATAATAAAGATAACTGTTAATCGCTTGACAATTGTATAGTTCTTGTAACTATTTTTCTTTTTGTGTACTGGCGGGGGTATTTTCCTCCCCCTGCAAATTTCCAACCCTCTGGCAGGAATTAGGAATGCATTGTCTGAGGGCTCAGCTCAGTTTTCCGTTCGGGTTTTCAGCTCAGTATTGCTGCAGTTTGTGCGTCAACTCTTTGGCTCAAGTGCGGGCCACATTTCATAGGCTTCCCAGAGTAACCTCCACTCCCACCTCCACCACCCACCTCCCACCCACAGCCCCTCGATTCCCACCCCTTCGCTGGAAGACGCGACACAAATTAGCCATCTTTTCTGCATTCTTTTTTAGCAGTCTTTCCATTTGGCTGAGAACATTTTCAGTTTGCTTTGCAGTGCACAACTGGCAACAGTCGTCGGGTTTTTTCGATTCGTTTTTCACTCGATTCTTTTGTCAGCCCGTAAGGAAATCACAAGACCATCAGCCAAGAAAAAGAATTTAATTCTCCAGTCTCAAAGTGTAAATCTCGTCTTGTCTTAAGCTAATTCAATCATTGCTGCTGCAAGTTATAAAGTGTAAACGAATGACTAAAAATTCGTTTTGGACAGCCAGTGAACAGAAAATATTCAAATCAGTGCAATCGTTTATAATTGCATTAAAACTACTAAATACTGTGGATATGAATTATTTAGAGACCATTTTGTGGTAAGAAAAATAAACACCTCAAATGAAATAATGAAATAGAAGTGTGGTGGTTGTAAACAAATCATTGTAAAAATACATTTAAGTTTTTGTTTGCATTTGAATAACTTGAAAGCAAAACTTTACATAAAACACAATGTGCAAGCTTCATATAACTCATTTAAATATTTTCATATCCCTTTGTTTGGCAGCAAAAATGAATACCTAAAAACAACAAGTTCAAGACAAGCTTATTCGCTTCGCCAAGCACATTTATATGCAATTTCTTGGAAAAATGAATTCAAATAGACTTGACTTATTATAAAAATGTTCTAAATTGTGTTCCCCTTTCTTTTAAACAACTCAAGGGAGTGCTGCTGCAACATTTGTTTTGCTTTTGCCAATATTTGTTCTCGTAATTTTCTATGGCATCCATCCGCATCTGCCAAGTTTTCATTGCCGTTGTGCCCGTTGGCCAATTGCTGGCTGTTCACTCAAATGATGCGTAAAAATCACATTAGCGGCAGCCGTGCGACAATTTGGCCAGATCCAAGGTCTCAATGCCCCAAAGTGTGTTGTATTTTCCGAGGGAGTGTATTGGTTGTTTGGCCAATTAAACCTTGACTGCGGAGCTAAGCCAAGTTTTTGAATTTATGGTACAAGTACGCAGGCAGTAATTTTTAATGGTACTCAGGAGAAGTTTTTAATTTTTTTTTCTTAAATTTCCTCTCCGGATCTATAAATTAAATAACTTATAGGAAGTTTATGAATTTATTCCTTATTGTTTTACCTCCTTTTCTTACAAAAGTTTTATACAGTTGTAATATGAAGTACCAAATAGAATCAGTTTCACTCTTCCTCGTCTTAAGTAAAAGGGGAACTGTGTAGTTACTATAAAAGAGAGTTGCAAAAAATATATATAAAAACCAAATACATTTCATTGAGTTTTGAGGTTGAACAATAAACTGCTTTTGAGTATATTTTCCTCTGAGCTGTCTCTTTAAATCGGATTATATTTTGGTTTTATATTTTTTTTGGATACCTAGTTCTAGTTGATTTTCCAGACTGAACTACACTTTGTTCTTGTGTTCGTCCTTATATTTCCTGCATGGATGTTTTCATAAATTTTACTCCCTTTTTTGCTATTTTTGCTGCCTGCTACTGGCATGAAAAGCATTTTACACATGGCAGCGTTTTTTAATTTTGCCAGCCGGCTTTTAGAAATGGGACAACACAAACACACACATGTGTAACATGCACTTACTAATTAGAAATAAAAACGCGAACTGCACTTGCATTTTGCTCATTACGTTCTCTCAGCCATTTCTCTCTTTATTTATTTGTGCCACCCTTTTGCGAGCTGGAATTTTGTGCTAAAACATACGGCGGCTGGTCGTTTGTTTGGAAATAATAGACACCCTGTCTCTGGGCCAAGAAATCGGCAGAAACGTTGGCCAAATCGCCGCCCATGGTCTGGATAATGCCAGTATCCTTTGGGCAGCGATGGAAGCGGGTCAACTGCTGCCATTCACCGGCTGGACAGCCAAGGGACAAGAACCCAGTATCCCGATCCCTGAGGAGACTTTCGGCAAAGAGCATGAAAGCCCTCCAATGGCTGCATTCATGCCAAAAGCATCCTGGCTGCTGGCTGCCCCAATTGGCATAGAAATCGGCATGACCCAGAGGTCGATCGAACCCATAGCTGCCCACACTAGTGTGCAACACCTCCACGTAGTCGGCATCCTCGGCGGTCAGTCGCTCCTTTTCCTTGGCATATCGGAAGAAGGGTAAGGCCGGATCCAAAGCCCGGATCATCCGAAGGCGACCCGTCTGCAGATGCTTCCCCGCCAATCCCGCCACATGGGCTCCCATGCTGAAGCCAACCAGCTGGAGATCCTCAAAGCGCAGTCCCGCCTCCTCATGCAGGAAGTCCACGAACTTGGCCAAGACTTGACCCACCGGCTTCACTCGATAACTGGCCGTTATATAGTCGGCGATGGCTCCACGTCCCCAGTCCACCGTGAAGATGTTGTAGTTGCCATTTTTTAGAGCAAAATAAGCCGGCAATAGGGCACTGTACATATTAGCATTCGCATTGCCCAGCCATCCGTGAATAAGGATTCTAAAGAATACAATAAGTGTTTCGAATTATTGATAGATTATTATTAATCACAACGGATCAAGTACAATACATTTTGATGGGAATTCTAAACCATTTTTTAATTAATACTGTATGGAATGTGATATAGTTTAGTTTCTTCAAATAAATATGAATGAAAAGGGCTATGAAAATAGAATGGACGATATTCTAAATTCCCCAAGGGTTTGGCATTACACTATTTTGTACATTTTATTTTACTCTACTTTCATGTTTGATTTCCTTTTATAAATTGAGTTTTTTGTTTAACAAAGATCTCGTTATCACATGTCTCTAAAGCCTGTCTCCTGAAAGTGTCAAATCCCCGTGAGGCTTTCAAAAACCGAAAATGGCTTTCAAAAATCGTGGATAATTGCCGTGTGGCTTTCCACCTGCATCACTCACCTGGTAGGATTGAAGGGACTGAAGCGCGACCGGCGCAGCGATGCGGCATCGTAGAGATGCACCTGTTCGCTAGTGACCTCCGCCTGCCCCCCCAGTTGCCCCTTGTCCATCACATTTAGGCCAAAGGCGGCGGTCAGCGTGTTGCCCACGACCTGCTGGAACAGCCTGCGATGCGGAGCCTGCTCGGATTTCGAGGGTCCTGGCTGGGCGGCTGTGTCCTCCGGGACGAGGGTGTGCAGGTGGAAATAGGTGTGGTGCTCGGCATTGTACAGCAATTTGTAGTCCGGCTGCAGGCGGAGTAATTGCTGTTCAACCGAACTGGGCCCGTGGGCCAGGTTATGTCCCTGCTCCGGCTGCTTCTGCTCCTCCTGCTGCTCATCCAATATTGGCAGCAGGTCGGGACTCATTAGGCCAGACAGCAGTGGCATTTGTGTGTCAAAGTAGTTCGTCTGCCGCCGCTCACCGCCCCGATTTCTCATCCGCATCCGCATCATCATCGTTCTCATTCCGAGGGCACTTTCCACTTCATTTGTCACTTTTACTTGCACTGCGGGTCTCGGATTCGTCTTTGCCTCCTGCAATTGATTGTTGTCTGCAGCGGCATTATAGTCCTCAGATCCCACCCTGTAATCAGACGCTTTCAGCTTTGCTGCAGCGAGCCACAAACAAACTGGTGTCAACGAAACGAAAGTGCATTAGGCTCGAAACTGTGCAAGTAGACCAATCCGCAAATGAAGCACACAGGGAAAAACTAGGGCTCAATCAACTTAAAAAAATACAATGTATTTAAATTTGTAATCCACTTTTCCTTATATGGTGTTCAATTTGATTGCTTTTTCTAACTTTTACCAATTCATAATTTACAATATCACTTTGTATTTAATTTAAAGAAAATCACAATAAACACAATAACTTTATCAGTTCCATTTTAAATATCTTTATTAGTTCTTTTTTAATATTCTTCAATTTAGATTTAATAATGTTTATTGAATTATTTGTTTAGTTTGTTTTGATCACTTTAAAACACCTTTACAAAGTTTTATTATTTTCTTAATATCAGTAAAAGTCTTTACTAAAGGAATGGAAAACTTGGCTTGGCCTTTTTTTCACTGTGTGCATTACTGATGCTCCAGCAATTTATGATGATGATGATAGTCACCTGCCTGCAGCATGACCACCAAGTGCACAGCATTCCACATAGTCTGAATATCTGCTCTTTCCTCAAAGAACTGCGATTTACAACTGAACCAAACTGAACGAAGTCGAAGCATTTACCTGCATATTTGCCCAACTTTACTTTTCGGCGTATTAATATGCAGAACTTCACACTTTTTCTCACTCTCGTCTTCATTGATTTCTTCTTAACAACAGGTAATTGTTAATGGCTCAGTTGGCGGGAATTACTGTGAGAGTGCTCTCCCATTAGCTGCTAATCTTTTGGGTCAACAAAAATTCTGGCAGAGAGTGGGTGCGGGAAAAAGGGAGCTGGAGGGGAATATGTTCCAGTGACCAAGTTTCTGGCCATTTAGCACACGAAGCTGAAAGTTAAATCTTTTTCGGGATAGGTCAACAGTCTTCGAATATTTTTCAAAATGTTTGGTCTTAAATAAAACTAAGTAAGGAAATAATATAAAAACATTCAGATTTTAGAGTTTTTTAAAAGGCTTAACATATTTTTTGCGCTTTAAAAAATATATAAATAATTTCGTCTTCTTGGGGACCATTATTGACAGCTTCTCACAACCTTCTCCTTTCGAGCTTTTTAAGCTTTACTGTAACCACAGGCATATAAAGCTGACCGAAAATGCCGCGTTCTGATTTTACTTTCTTTTTGGCCATCTTTGTTCTGAGATTTTAAGCAGTTTACTTTGGCTGCCGGAAATCTGTCAGATTATTGTAATATTTTTGAAATTCCTTAAATATATTTTGTGTTCGCACACTTTTATTTACAGTTTTGGAAAGTTTCTGCCTTCGTTTTCTTTTTACCAGCTCTTAAACTGCTTAAAATTATATGTCTTCTCATTAAGAATGTAAGCCACATGTCGATTATCAAGATTTGTTCATTAATGTATACTTTATATTGAAAACAATAGGTATCTCAATCTTCCAATTTAATTTCGTTCGCCTATAAAATTTTGTAATGCCTGCGGCTATAACATACTAATCGAAAATTTGCACATTTGTTTTTGTTTACTTTGCAGGTAAGTTCACATATTTCCGCGAATTCCGCCGACCGGAAGTGGCGGTCGCCATTTTAACGACATCCGGCGCGTGCATTTCTTGCTGGAAAAAAGGAACGACGACGAAGGACCTGCTGCGGGACATAGCTGTTTTCCTTTGCGCTTATCGCTGATCACAAAACGTGACGAAAACAACGAGAACAGCGAGTTGTAGGGTAGAAAACCCTCAGGCAGGGAAAGATAAACGAAGGTAACCATATCTCAGACCCCGCTCTTATCGGGATACATTGTATAATATGGAATATTGAATATGATGTCACGAAGCATGCGAGGACATTTCAATTCGCCCCCGCGAAAGCACTTCCTCCCCCTTACAGATGAGATGGTGATACGGCACAAGTTCAATGTACAATCTTTTGTGCTGGGATTTCTGCATTTGCATTTTTTGCAGCTTCCCCATTGTTGTTGCAATGCGACACTCAGACAGGATTTGTTTTTTTTTTCTATGTGAGAGATGGGGATAAAAAACAATAACGCGACAATAATCGATTAAAAACAGTGACTGAAAAAGGAACTCCGGCAGTCTGAGCTTTGTTTGCCTTTTACTTTATGGCCGCAAGCTCAAAAATGTCACTCGAGTGACTTTTATTACGAGGATATTCAGACCAGTTGGGGGTTGAGGGTTGAGGATGTGCGAATATGGTGGGAATGGGTAGTGCCCCGTCCTCAGGACTATTTGCCCGCAAAATACTTGAGCCGGTCTTTGGTGTCAGCATTTACCAGTCGAGTGTGCACCCTTCATGTTGGCGGGCTATCCCATCGCCCCCCTCGCTGCGTACCCCTAAAAAAGAAGCATTTTCTCAAGTGGCACTTGTCGCACTGCATCCTGTGAGCATAAGCAGGATGCGTTGCCTCAAAGCTGCTGACTCAGCCTTATATGCCTCATATGCCCTTTGTGGCGTTGTTGCTGCTGTGGGCAAACAATGAGCGGCATAAACGAATTTGTTACATCAGTTAAGGCTGAGTGAGATTGTTGACATCAAATTTGATGGCCTGGGGAAAGGAAGTATCTCTTCAAAATGTTTATTAGAATGTGAAATATGGTGGCTGCTCAAGCTGAGTGCAAACTATTTTAAATATTTTGCTAGCTGGCATTTTTGGCTCATTACTTATTTATGGAGCTCTGAAGATTTCTGATAAGGAATTCTACTTAATTTAAATGCAATAGAATTACAAAAATGTTTTAAAATTCAAAAGGAGAGATTTTGTTCAAGTATGTCAAGACATTAAAACTACATTAAATATCTGATTGGTTAGCAGACTTATATTAAAGATGTCAATTATTTAAATTACAATTTAGTTCATGTTAAATTTCGCAGCAGATGAACCTCTGTAAACAGTCTGTTAACACGTATCCTATATCTGCTAAAGGATAGCAAAGCTTTATGTGAGAGCTTTCAATAAAGCTTTCGAGCTCTGATTGACTTGATGTCCTGGCTACGCGTCCAGCTAGCCAAAGTTTATTTCACCGCCAGTGAAAAGCTCTAAGTACAAACTTTATACTCTAAAAGGATGCTTTTCTCAGAGCTTTTTCAGGCTCCCTTCTATTCTTTAGCTTAACTACCAATGCTACTTAATTATCGTTAACTTATTGGTGCAAATTTCAAAGCAAATATATTATTTTCCTGATATATAAAATTATTTTTGAGAGTTAGCACAAGGCCAAAACTTTGTTTTTACCCGAAATTTGAACTTAAACCTTAGATGTAAATGTGACAATTGCCAAACTTCCGCTGAACAAGCTCTGCTGTGTTTCCCAGCTAACTGTTTCTATTTACAAGCATCCTGTTTGTTAATTTCCCTGAAAGCGACAGAAAGCCGAGAGGAATTTCCGGCTCGACAGAGTCCTTCAGACGACAAAGTGGCCACTTGCCTGCGATGTCTGGTTTGTCTGACAACCTCAAGTGGCGTCTTCAGAGGCCCCTTGGCCCTTGCTCCTCCGGAAAGCATTTCCTTTTTGCCTTTCACCTGCGACGATATTGTATGCAAATGAGCAAGTTTCTAGGCTGCGGTCTGCGACTCCAGGCCAACTGTCCTTGCCACATACTTGTTGAAGGATGCTTTCGGTAATTTGAGACTTTTTATGGGGCGCTGGCCCCACTTTGGTCACACCTTTTAATTAGCAAAATTACACCAAAAGCGGGACAAGTTTTGTAAGCCATACCTGTGTTTGGGCAAAGGTTTTGAGTATGAATTGTTTAGTCGGGTACATTGCAGAAAAAGTTTTTAAAACGTTTCTAGCTCGTTTTTACGGTAAGCTAATAGTAGGTCTTTGAGCTTGACAATAAGCGGAGAGACTCTTTACTAGCTCAATCGTAATCTTGCCACTCTTATCCTATAAACTAGATTTCAGAACATACTCTTTTTATATATTTTTGTAAATATGTTCTAAGGATTTATTTTTTGTATTTAATTATAAACAGTTTCGAATTAAGAGTTTTATCTGTTGATTGCTATGATGTCTGCTTAACCATTTCTTAAGTATATCTTTTACAATTCTACATGGTTTAAATAAACTTATAATTAAACAAATTTGGGCTTTCCTGAATTTGATTTTAAATTGGAAAATTATTAGTTTACTAGTTTTATTAATTAATAATTAGTTTTTTTCTCTGTGAATTTGCTCATTTCGATGCTGTCACTCTTTGCAAGAGAGCGAGAAAAGGGAGCAGCAGTTGCCGGGCTCTCATTTCCGAGTGGGTTGACTTGAAAGCATTTTTCCGGCTGCAGGTCCTTGCTCCTCCATTCCCCCCTCGAACCCTCGTGCATCTACCTCCCTGGCCCTTGCATGTGTGTGTGTGTGCATTTTTTGTAATGCACTTTCAAGCACTTAATAAGCTCACAAAAGCACCGACAATTTGCATATGTCTGTGGGCTGGGGAATACGTCGGTGGTTACGAGGAACCACTTACCTTAACCCTTCAGTTCTTCCACGCATTTATATGCACTGCCAGCCACGAAAGGACTCTTGCCCACATATACATGTGTTATCCTTCTTATCCTTGCGAGATCCTTGTCAAGTCCCTTGATATTGTGTGCGTCCGGGTGAGTGGAACGTTTACCTTTTCATCATATTTGAAGTGCACGAGTGCAAGTGCGTGTCCTGCTGTCTCTCCCAGTATCCTTTGGCTCTCTTACTCTCTCTTTCTCTTTTCCCGTTCCTTTCTAAATGTGTGTGTCTAGGTGGCCGTGCCGGCAAACTTGGTTGGCAGTTTTATTTTTAGGTCAACGTAATTTCCGCACTTTTTATCACCAGCTTCCGTTTTTTTCTTTTTTGTATAACCGACTTGTCCCTATTTTTTGTATTGTTGTGGCAATTAATCATTTAAAAGGGTTAATGGTGGGTCCTTTAAATATATGTTGCTGGCCGACACAAAAAACATTGTTTGGAGAAAAATTAAAACGTCAACTTTTTGACATGTTTATTTTAGTGTTGGAAATAGATTTGTCCTTTATCACAGATAAATAGGATTTGGTAAGGGTTGTTC